CTATATATAGGAATTCATATGGAAACACAAATGACCAAGAATAGCCGGAACAATCCTCAGCAAAAAAAAAAAAAAACAAAGCAGAAGGTATTACACTACCAGACTTCAAACTTTACTATAAAGCTACAATATCAAAACAGCTTGGTATTGGTACAGGAACAGGCATATAGACCAATGGAATAGAATTGAGATTCCAGAAGCAAAACCTCAATTTCTCAACCAACTCATCTTCAACAAAGCCTCCACCACCCACCACTGGGGAGAGGAGAACCTATTCAGTAAATGGTGCTGGGAAAACTGGTTGAGCACACGTAGAAGACTCAAACAAGACCCCTATCTATCTGTATACAGAAAAATTAACTCTAAATGGGTCAGAGACCTAAATGTAAAACCTCAAACCTTGAACCTTAGAAAATGCAGGACACACCCTTATGGAAATTGGAACTGGCATCCAATTTCTGAACAAAACCCGAAACCCCACAGGCCATAAGAGATAAGATAGACAAGTGGAACCTCATTAAACTGACAAGCTTCTTCCAGGCCAAAGAAACCATCAAGAGAGCAGGGAGACAGCCCACAGCCTGGGAAAAAGTATTTGCCAACTTCAGGTCTGACAAAGGCGTAACATTTTGTATCTACAAGGAACTCAAATGTGCTGAAAAGAAAAAAACAAACAACCCCTTTATAAAGTGGGCAAAAGATATGAACAGACACTTCTCAAAGGAAGACATCCGAGCAGCCAACAGACACGTGAAGAAATGTTCAACCTCACTAATCATCAAGGAGATGCAAATCAAAACCACACTGAGACACCACCTAACTCCAGTCAGAATGGCAATTATCAATAACTCAAAAAATAACGGTTGCTGGAGAGGGTGTGGCGAAAAGGGAACACTTCTACACTGCTGGTAGGAGTGCAAACTGGTGCAACCTCTGTGGAAAGCAGTGTGGCGATTCCTAAAAGCTCTAAATATCGACCTCCCATATGACCCCACAATCCCCCTTCTGGGACTATACCCTGAAGAACTGAAATCACTATAAAAAAGATACCTGCACACGTATGTTTATTGCAGCATTGTTCACAATAGCAAGAACCTGGAACCAACCATGCTGTCCATCAAAAGAG